GGAGCTGCTGCGCGTGTGTGCAGTGAGTGTGGTGAGCTCTGTGACTGGTGCTTGCTTAGGGCTGTAACGGGGTTTTCCTCTCCTGCTGAATCCAGATACTGTCTTGAGTCGTATCCAGCCTGTACTGAGTGTCGTCTGCATCAGCCTCTGCTCTCTAGAACGTGGGTTGCAGCTTACTGGCGTCCACCTCTATGCTGTGGATAGTTGACATTCCTCTGATGTGGTCAGTTGCCCTGTGCCAGGGGCCTGCCAGACATTGCCCTTCTGTGCACTGTCCTCACTAGCACCTGCCCTATGGAGACTGGTGCCCTCTGCTGCAACCACAGGTTCATTGTATTGAGAAAAAATTAGGGATTCCCACCTCTCTCTTTTTTTTTTTCTCAACAAAATTTTATTTTTTGGCCAGATGTGTAAGATATAAAGGTGTTACACAGATGACTTCAGAGTCCACATTCAGTCCTCCCCAGCCAAGTATCTTGAGTCTTTTCCCAGGCAGAGAGGCTGTTACCTTCAAGTTCTGCCACAGACTTGAGCTGCAGTTTGAGATCTTTGCCCTGGGAGGTGTGACTGGAGCAGGTTCTGCTGCAGTAGGCTCTTGCCAGTACAGAGCCTGCAGCTCAGCCTGGGCACTGCCTCCTGAGTACCACAGCTTGGTACTTCTGGCTCCAGAAGTATAGGAGTATGTGGCCGAGCAGCCCTCCAGAGAAGCAGGTTCCATCTCTCAGCCAGCTGTGCTGCATCCCTGGCTCCCGTGGTCCCTTCCATGCCCCAGCCCAGAGCATTTGTTCTTCTGGTACTTAAGATTAGTTGTTTACTCCTGGTATCTTAGCATCAGTTACTTATTAGCTAGCCCATTGGTTTTTCCTATGCTGAGAGGTTAGCACTGGCACAGACCTTTTTGGGCATCACAGACTCAAGCCTCCCTGTGGCAGGGGCAGGGAGAGAGGGAAGACCTTCTGTGGAGGTGGAGCATGAGGCATGCAACTGTATGTTGACTTTGGCTCCCAATAACTTAAGGAGTAGTCCTCCTGAGGTGTAGGTTGGGTATACCCTGAGGTTGTAGGTGTGGAGTCTGCATGTTTCTCTTAGCAGTCAGGCCACAGCAGTGGGGGGCTGCCTTCTTCCTTAGGTCACAGAGGTGGTCTTGCCTGTGTGGGCTTGTTACCTGAACCAACTTTTTTTTTGTTTGTGTATGAGTGATACTGAGAACCTAGGGGGCACTCTTAACACTAAGCTATATTCCTAGCCTTATTTATTTATTTATTTATTTGTTTGTTTGTTTGTTTATTTATTTATTTATTTGAATTTTGAGACAGGGTCTCACTAAGTTGTTGAGGCTGGCCTACAACTTGTGGTCCTCCTACCTCAGCTTCCTGGGTCTCTGGGGTCACATGTGTGCACCCATTTGACTGCCTTTCTTGTAGGATGTTGAATATGAGGCATGTGAGTGAATCTTGAATGAGAAATCATGGAGTGAGTTGTTCATTTGCTACCTGTGGGGTTCTTTAGCTTGTCTCCACCCCTGGATTTGCATCTCCTTTACCTGTGTGGCTCATTTGGGCAGTGTCTCTCTGGAAGGCCCACAGGGGTGAGCCTTTTTGTTATTTGTTTGCCTTTCTGGTCTTTGGTCATATGACACATTTGCTGGAATATATTTTTATTTATTATTTATTATTTCTTTTTTCCTAAACAGTGTAGATTATCTCTCCTACCCCCCACCTTGCCATGCGGTGAGGCTTTGTGGCGCTGCCCAATTCCTTCTCAATAGGAGTTCTGCGGGAGCTTGCCCGAGGCTACCTTGGATGAAGGCCTGCACATGTGGGAAGGCTTGTCAGGGAGGAGCCCAGCACCCCTCATTCCTTGGTCCTCAGCTGTCTCTGCCACAAGCCACTGCCTTCCCTTGCTCTCCAGAGACCCTGCAGTGTGTTCGCCGGTGCTCAGGCGAGACTGGGGAGATGGGGCCTCTGGGGAGTGCATTTGTCTAGTTCCCAGTTTTACCTCTGTGGTGTGCATACTGCTGTTGAAGAGGAACAGAAGAAGGTCTTCTCAATTGTTAACTGTTGGGTGTTTTTTATTTTATTTTTTTAAATCATGAGAAACTTTGACAGCACACATAGGTAGAGTACTGTACTCATCTGTTTATCACATAGATTCAGTGATTAGGATGAGTTTACCACATGTGCTGGATCTGCCCTTTGCTGCTTTCCCTTTTGTCTCTTTCTTTGCTGAATTGTTTTCATGTGCTTCTCAGACATCACGTCCTCTCACTCCTGGACACTTGAGGGTATACCTTCCAGACTGTAGGCTTGGCTTACATAATGCAGTGGCTTCTCCTGTAGTTAGCCATGCCCTGTGACATCTGACACCATGTCTCTAGTCACATTTCCTCTTCTTTCAGCTGCTGGTTTATGTACAGCAGATTCCCAAGAAGGGTCTCCTTTTACATCTGCGAGTTTCCGCCTCTTTCATCTAGATTTCTCATCCTTCATACCTTGTTTCCCAAAATGGGGCAGCTGACCTGAAGGGTGGTTAACCTCTCGCTGGTGTTCTGCTGGCTTCCTGGCAGTGCTGTCCTCAGTTCCTCAAGAGGCCCCCTCAGGTTCTACACAGCTTATGGCAGTGAGCTGGCCCCGCAGCAGCTCCACAGGAGACACCTGTTCTGTTTGCTCCATTTTTTTTTTTTTTTTTTTTTTGAGTCATGCTGAGATCGCTTTGTGGCTTCAGGTGATGACTGCCTGACTTGGCAGCTTGTTTTCACCTGTGCCCATCCTGCCTGCATCAGGGGCTTACTGGGGTCCATATTCACTAGCTAGTTTGTTTGGTGGTTTGGGAGAAAGTTCATGGAGGAGCAGGTGCTGTATTCTTTCCCTCTCAATTGCCAGAGTTTGCTCTTGGTGCCTTTGTTGCTTCCATTTTGTCCAGCACCCGGTTCTCCCCTCTGCTCTCTGCTTCCTCTTTCTCCCTGCCTGTTCAGTTTTGCATATTTAATGTGTTTCTGTCGATTGCATTTCTTACTCCCTTTGATGTTCTGAGGCTTTCTGTCATGACAAGATGTTCCAAGCTTGTTTTGTAAGTGGTGCCTATAGTGGTGAACCAGCTATTCCACCCAGGATTCCTTTGCCTCTTGGTGGGAAGAGGGAACGGGCTGTGGGTGTGCTCCTTGTTGCCTGTTCCAACTCCTTCCAGACCATTTTAGTGACAGCTTTAAAGAAAAAAAATAAGAATTTAAACTTAGATTTACTACATTAACTTTTATGTTACAGTATTCTTTTTTAACTTAGATTTTTGTGTTTGTCTTATTTTTCTTTCTTCAAATATTGGTTCCTAACAACGATATTATAAATTACTTTTCATTATCCTGCTCTGCAAAAACACCAGTTAAGCTGCTGAATTAAGTTTTTTTCTTTGCAGCTTTATCAATAGAATATGCTCTTCTGGGGTAGCTGGTACACTGTTCAGACATCATTTGTAGATATGTCACCAACATGAGAGTTGAGGGTCAGTCTCTTTTTTTTAGTTTTAAGGAATTTTTCTATTTCCTTCTATTTTTTGAATATATAAACATCTCTGTTTCTAATGTTAACAAAACTACAAAACAAGGTTTATTCAGATAAATCTCACTTCTCTTTCTTCCTCCCTGGTAGGTAGTCATTAAATAAAGGTTGCCCTTTACCATTTTTTTAATTTTTGTACATTTAGACAGATATGATACATTCATATTCCTTTTATTGCACAAAAGGAAACATGGTCTTCTGGGCCTTGCAATTTTCACATAGTGGTATTACCTTGGTTCACACACAATACACACACGCATGCGTGCACACACACCATGTTTTTAATGACTAAGCAGCATTTCATTGGAAGGAAGTGCTGGAATTGATTCAGGTAGGCACCTATGCATGGGCCTTGAGTTGCCAGCAGTTTTGCTGTGACAGGTACTGTCCAAGGAATTCTGCTCCTCCATCATTTCCTGTTTTTAGGAAATTCTGAGTATCTAGTTGAATATCACAGTCCTAACATATCTAGAAGCAGTCTGGTTTATTTTGCCATCTTAATTTTAAAGAAGTCTCCTCAGTTTCCTGTGTGCAGTACCTCATTGAAATTCATTTTAAGAAGATCTATTGATTTCATTTAGTTTATCAAAATATCACTGTGTAAAATACGAGGGATGGAAAGATGCTGGCATTATTTTAACCCTCAGAAGATTTAAGGTTGAGGATTTTGGGATTGATTTTCTTCTTTAATCTCCTCTATGTTTTATTTTGTGTATTTTGTCCCCTTAGGTTATCAAAAGACTAAAAAAAGGCACTGGAAAGTGTATCTTTACTGCTCTCCCTGAGTGGAGCAGGTTGTATCGGGTGCAAGGGTGTTCTCAAGGACCCTGGATAAACTCAGCACATATTAATTGAATTTCTCCTTCTGCCAGAACATAATAGTGAACAACACACACAACTTTTCCCTTGTAGCACTTACATCCTTGTACAGAAGATGGATCTAAAACCAGGGAACAGAGAAGACGATTACTAGTTGTATGTGCTTTGAAAGTATCAAATGAGATTCAGAGTCGAGCCAGGGTTGGGGCAGCTGACACACAATGGGAGAGAGTAGTTCCAGCACTGGTGACAGGCACAAATTCTCTGGGGTGGGAAGAGCTTGGGGTATGTGAGAATCAGAAGAAATCAGTGTCAGAAAGCAGTGGCTGAGGTAGAAAAGAGCAAAGACCAGGTCCTGCAGAGCCTTGTTTTTAGGGTAAGGATTTGGATTTCATTTTGAATACATCAGGAAACCATCAAGGACGATTAAGCAGGGGGATGATGTTGGATATTTGATGTATATGTACTTTTTCTTTCCATAGATTAGGAGGCAGCTCATATATAAGGTATTGATCTCCAAAAGCAGCAGTATTAATCCTTCTGAAGTTTAGAGTGGAGGTTATATTTCTCCTTGTTCTTTTGTGCAGGGCAGATGCTCTTCTTCTGCTTTATTTTCTCTTTTCGTAGTATTTCCCTTGGTGCTATGCAGATAGTTACAGTGAGCAGTTGTAACGGATAATGAACTTGATTTAGAACGGAGCATGATATCTACAAATTCTCTTCTTCAGACCTGCAAATCCAAGAGACACATCCCTCTGGAAGAGAACTGCGTCCTCAGGATTAAAAAAGGTCTGTGTTATTGCTATCACATTTATGTAAAGATAATTATGGAATCAATAACAGTTTTCTGGACAGAAGAGGCATTTTCAATGTATTTATTTATGTTTCTGTTGCAGAAGACTGGTGTGCTACCTGTGTAGGAATTCCCAGGAGCAAGACTCGCCACACCTGAGCTCACTGTAAAGGCTATGCAGCTTTGCAGGAGAAGAAGGATGTACTGACCGTCCCAGGGGAGGCTGTGGATGCTCATGACCATCAGTGCTCTCTCACCCTCGAAAACTGGGTGCACACTGTGCGGTCCTTTTCTAGACGTGAGAAGTACAAGATTACTCTATGAGAGGAAGGCTCCAGGGGCTTAAAGGCACGTGCACCTTGGCCACCCCTTGGAATGTTGACGACTCAGGATCTAAAGGAAATTCTGTGTTAGAGTATGGAATTCATGTGGAAGTAAATGTCACTTTATAATCGGTAATAACACTGAGTAAGGAACACTATGCAGGAAGAAACCTTCCATAGAAAGACAGGCAGGGAAAAGCTTAGGCCGACCTTAAACTTGCCCAGCAGCTTAAGCCTGAGATAGGCTGCCAGAATGGCCAAATAAGAGACTCTATGAAGTAGCAGTCCTGTAACTGTAGTAGTTGTAAGGAAATTTTCTCCTCTAAATCACGATACCAAATAGGAAAAATGATCTACAAGTGCCCCATGTGTAGGGAATTTTTCTCTGAGAGAGCAGATCTCTTTATGCATCAGAAAATCCACACGGCCGAGAAGCCCCACAAATGTGACAAGTGTGATAAGGGTTTCTTTCACATATCAGAACTTCACATTCATTGGCGAGACCACACGGGAGAGAAGGTCTATAAATGTGATGATTGTGGTAAGGATTTTAGCACTACAACAAAACTTAATAGACATAAGAAAATCCACACAGTGGAGAAGCCCTATAAATGTTATGAGTGTGGCAAAGCCTTCAATTGGAGCTCCCATCTTCAAATTCATATGAGAGTTCACACAGGCGAGAAACCCTATGTCTGTAGTGAGTGTGGAAGGGGCTTCAGTAACAGTTCAAATCTTTGCATGCACCAGAGAGTCCACACCGGAGAGAAGCCCTTCAAATGTGAAGAGTGTGGGAAGGCCTTCAGGCACACCTCCAGCCTCTGCATGCATCAAAGAGTCCACACCGGGGAGAAACCTTATAAATGTTATGAGTGTGGGAAGGCCTTCAGTCAGAGCTCCAGCCTCTGCATCCACCAGAGAGTCCACACTGGAGAGAAACCTTATAGGTGTTGTGGGTGTGGGAAGGCCTTCAGTCAGAGCTCCAGCCTCTGCATCCACCAGAGGGTACACACAGGAGAGAAACCTTTTAAATGTGATGAGTGTGGGAAGGCCTTTAGTCAGAGTACCAGCCTCTGCATTCATCAGAGAGTCCACACCAAGGAGAGAAACCATCTCAAAATATCAGTTATATAAAATGTTTTGCTAAGAATTAAAAAATCTTAAAACCCGTAAGTGCCACTAGGAAGGAAACCCTGTATGTACCTACATTGACCCAAGGAGTATTCACGGCAGTCCCTAGCAGAATGTTCTTTTTGAGGAGGCATAGGTGAGGTTGAGGTTTTGATCCATTGATTCATACCAGGTGTGTCCCACAGCTTGACTTTGAATATGGAGTCCTTCTGAGCATGTGCCCAAGACGGGTGGGCTGTCTTGCATCCCAGGTGTAGATTTTGTATCCTGGAACTCCATGATGCCTCAGTAATTGAAGTACTGCTCAGCTCCTGAGCATTGCCAGCCTCCAAGTCACCTTGTGTCTGTGCTGTGCTTAGAAGTGATCCCAGATGCTCCCTCTCAGGAGCTCTTTCTCCTTCCTTCCTCTCGAGCCTTCTGGTCAATGCATTTGAAAATGGACAGCTCCCGCTAAGATTGTGTTCTGGCATTTCTGAGCTTGCCACATTACAGCCCTACGTAGCTTTCCATATATCCCGTGACTTCTGAACCCACTTTACCTCACATCCTCACAGTACCCATAATTCCCCACCCCTTCCTAGGTGGCATTAAATTTCATTTTAGATTTTAGGCAACTCATAATATCCATTCACTCGGCCTCAGAGAAATCACTGGCAGACACACATGCCCTGGGACTTTTCTTTAGTTGTGGATTCTGCTAATCACTGTGTCTATATGTTAGACTTATTTTCTTAGTGGCTGCATCACATTTTTTAACTTGAATTTTTTTTTTTTAATAGCTGAATGTAAATAGCAGGGACAAAGAAGCAAAGCAAGGTATGAGCTTGTCTTCCCTCCAGAGGCACCCGCAGGCTCCCTTATTCCCTGTGGGGAGCCCCTCTAAGCCAGGGAGCCCTTAGGAAAGGGATGGTGGGAGAGGTCACTAAGGATGTGTGTCTGTTTCTGTCACCTTGGGCAGTATTGTGTAGGAGCCATTGGGGGTCAGGTGCCAGCTCTTGCTAGGCATGGATGTCTGTTGTCAGTCCATCATCTTTTCATTCTTCGTGCATTGGACAAGAATTTATTGAACACCTGCTGGGTGCTGGGAATGCCACTGAATCCGACAGACGAGGTCCCTGCTCTCGTGGAGTGTACTTCTGGTGGAGACAGATGATAAGCAAGTGAACATTAAAAATGTAGTCTGAGGTAGTGGTTAAGTGCTATGAAGAAAATAAACTAGGGTGGTGATGTAGAGTGGTGGGGGGTGGGGGGCATTAGCTAGGGTCGGGGAGCCTTGCTGAGGGCAGCTAGGACTGGGCAGGCACAGAGGTGGCGCACCAGTGGGACCACGCAGGTGCCGCTGGGTGCTGCCTGCCCTGGCGGACAAAAGGCAGGCGCCGGAGGTAGCGGCAGCGGCGGGAGGGGGAGGGATGCTGAGCTCTCAGTGTCCAGACTTTGTAGGCCTGTTATGTTTTGTTTGTTTTGCTAGATATTAAAAACTCATGTGGAGGAACTCAAGGAATGTTTAGAAGACCAAAAGTCCCCAATGACAAGAACAAAAAGCAACCTATGTTTTCCTCATTTCTCATTCCTGTCATTGATTTCCCACAGGCAGGCCTTTTGCTCAGGAAGTCTTTGGGGGAAACTAGGATCTTTGAAGCTCTGAAATGGGTTGGTGGTGTCTGTCAACTGTCTAAGTTGGAAAATGAATTCAAGATAGTCGTGGAAATACTGTATCTGAGCTTGGTTTTCCCTCCATGTTTGAATTCGTTTCTTCTGTTTGGCTGGAAGGGGTTTTTGCATAACTAAAACCTCCATGCATAAAGGAGATTTAAAAGGAGCGAAGGATTCAGTGGGTGGGCCATGAGGTGAGAGGTGGGACTTGGAGATAAATTTAGTCCGGATGCCTCTGCTGAGAGTTTGCTGAGTTGCTTCACAGGTATTTCCTCCTTTTTGCGAAGAAGAGGGCTGGTTTAGTTATCTGCTGAAGCCCCTTCCAGGCCTGAAGTCACAATTGCGGTTTACTGTAGTGTCTTATCACTCTTCATGTCACAGTAGCGTGGAGCATTAGAGAAAAGCCTAGACTTTTAGTTGATAGAGAGCCAGTTGAAATATCATTGATAGAATTTTAGTTTTTAGGAAAAATTGGTTTGATTTCTAGTTTTATTACTATTAGGTATGTGAGCTTGGGCAGATCCCTTGATCTTTGAGTCTAGTTTTCTCACAAAATGAGGATATTAGGCTAAATGATTTCCGAGTTTCCAGCTAGTCCTAGAGTTCTATATTTCTACATAGTTGAATTATTTTATCATGCTGTTGCTGGGGAATATGACTAACACTTTTGAAGCTACTAATTTTATGTCAAGCTTTAAAGTCCATAATTGTTATCTTCAGAAAATATTATTTGACCTACAGTATGTCCAAATCAATTTAATAAAATCACTTTATAACAGGGTTCTGTGCTTGACGTGTAGTTGTGTGGACTCAGTGGTCATTATGGGGCTGGAGTGTGGGTTGGTGTGTACATTGTACCCTGGATTTCACATATAATTCAACCAGCTTAAAGTGTTGGCAACAGACTCGTTTTCTGATCTGTCCTGTCATTTCTGTTATTTGCCTGGTGCCGGTGGGCCTGCCTTGCCCCCTGAGCCCTGCTCTTATCCCTTCTGACTGTGACTCACTCGTGGTGAAGTGTGGACCGTGCTTGCTGACCATAGTCTGGAAGCCACCAGCTGCCAGAGTGAAGTCTGTGTTCTGGTCTCAGCTGGCATGGTCATAGCCTTCTCAGGGGAGCAGGAAGGAGAGGTTCTGCTAAGATTTGGGTGGGAGAGGGATCCTGAGTGACTCTGCAGCTTCTCACATCTAAGGTGGGCAGAGATCCATCGAAGAGCCCCACCTTCAGATGGTCTGCCTTCAGGGAATAGGCAGCAGAAATTGCTGGAGTTCCTTTGTGTCACATCAGCATGGCCATGAAGCTAAGGGACCTTCTAACTCTTGGTGCTCTTCTAAAGAATTTTAAGCTGTATTAAGCATTGTGCAATTTGCTGTTACTCTCAGAGATTTGGGCAAAGAAGATATGAATAGAGAGCATGTATCCGAAGCAGGGGAAAAAACACCCAGTCATAAAATCAGCCCAGGAAGAGATGCCAGGCCTGGCACCACTGCGGGGGCCAGAGCCAGATGTGACAGCCAGCCAAGGCCAGACGGACGTGGGACGGAGGCAGGAATGAGCAGGTGGCCCAGCACCCACCCTGACCTCATGCAGGTCCCTGCTTTCTGGAGCCTCATGTGTCACACCTATAAAATGGCTTTGAAAAGCCTCAGCTCAGGATAATAGAACCAAATAAGCATATATAAAATCCCTAGTATTGTTATTATTCCTGTTGCCTTTTTGAGGAGATGAGACGTTTATTGGAGTTTTCTTGTGCTGAGTGCTGCAGTGGGTGAGGGCATTGAAATTTGGAGAGAGGGTTGGAGTGTTGCAGTTGACGGGGGGGGGCGGGGGGCCCTCTTGGGCACCTGTGATTGGAAAGGGAGCGCAAGGGGACCAGTGGGGAGGTCAGCGCGTCAAGCTTTCCTGTGAACATGTAGGAAACAAGCAAAAAACCTTTCCCTGGAGTTGGGCTTCTGGTGTGGGTGTTTCTCAGGGAGTCGGGGAGAATGCAGACAGACTGCTGCGTGCAGGCTGAGGAGGTGCAGAATGCACCTCAACATCGGAGTCAAGGGCGCCACAGACCAAGCTCCAAGGAACCAGGAGTCTGGGAGAGCATCCAGCTTCTGCAGGCCACAGGACTTGCAGGGCTCTGAGCCAAGTTTACCCAGACCCCCAGAGGCCTCTGTTACCAACCCTACGTACATAAGGTGAATAACTTTATGATCTTAAATAAGGTGAAATGGGCTTGCTGGTGGAGTGCCTGCCTAGTTATGCATGGGCTCAGCTTCCACCCTCTGCACCATACACATGGATGCACACTCAATCGTAAAGTTCAGTAAATTAAAATGTGCAAACTGCATGTTTTAATTATTCCCACATTTTAATTCTCGCTTTTAATCATTCCCATATTTCAAAGCTCTAAAGTGAAGACACATGAACAAACCACAGATCCCAGGGCCTATGTGCACACATGTGCTGGCATGACTTTGGTGTCAGTCTACATGAAAGATGACTTATGCCCAAGCCACTATTCAGATGCGGCCTGTGCACTTAAGTATGTTTTTAGAGAAAATGCACCAATGTAGATTCCTCTTATAGGTGACTTTATACTGTATAGAGTGTTTGGTGTGTACCCTGCCATTTGTACTTGCTTCTGGAAACAGGTTCATGTAGACTGACTGTCCTTCTGCTCAACTCTTGGCTGGCCTTGGTCCAAGTCTTCACATGAGTTACGGAGGGATGGTTGCATTTAGAGAGGTTGAAAACCTAGGCTTTGTGGATGTCCAGGGAGGTCTGGACCTTCAGTAGTATAAAGATACCATGTTCCTGGATGCATGTGTGTTTTAGGAGAGGACCTTGTTTACTCTGTGGTTTTCATAGATAAGGCACACTGTTGGGGGAAGTGGCCAATAGAGCCACATAGCCAGTCATTACGAGGACTTAGACAAAGGTGGGACCTGAAACCACAGCAAATGATGGCTGTTGTTCAAGTTTGGATCTTAAGTGCTTCCCCAATGGTCCATGTGTTAAAGACTTGTCCCAAGCTGGGGCACTAATGGGAGATGGTGGGGCCCAGAGAGAGGTCTTCAGATCATTGGAGCCCATTCCTCACAGGGGGTTCTGGACCTCCTCTTCCCTGTCTTGCTTGCCAGCCACATGAGCTTGCCCCATCCTGCACTCCACCATGATGCATTGTCTCCCTGGAGCAGCCAGCCAGGCCACCGTGGACGGAAACCTCTCCAACCGCAAGCTTAGTATCGGCTTTTTCTCTCTGTAAATTGAATATCTTAGGTATTTGATAGAATAATGAAAGCTGACTGACATGGATATAATAAATGGAAGAAAAAAGGGCTATGCTATCGTGAAGAAAGAAAAACGCTGACATGTAATGAAAAGGTATGTGTGCCTGTGATATCACGCAGGACTCAGTTGGGCTGGGTTCTCCTACGGAACAAGAGTAAGCAACCAGCTCGTTAAAGTCTGTAGGCATGTCAGAGGGAGCTGGCTGGAAGTGGGGAGAATGGACCCTGTGAATGCAAGACAATAGATCTACAATTGAGTCTGTCTCCTGGTTACAGAGGAGGTGTTCTGGCCATAACATTGGGGTGAGCTCCCCACTGCTGGATTGAGCTGTTTCTGGTTGCTCAAATAAACCTATTCATCACCTGGTTTTGTGCTTTCTCATGTTTAATTTCTGTGTCCACTTTACTTGCCTGGAGCACAAGAGAGGTCACATCTCTTTGTGTTTAAATCAGCCATGTTGAGCCTTCTTCCTGTCTGTTCTCAAAACGTTATTTTTGAGACTACTACTCTTTCACCCCTGGGTGCCCTGTCCCCTTCCTGAGACAAGGTCAAGATCCACAGAGACTTACTCCAAGTGATAAGTCCTATTTCTAAGATCTTGTGGGAACAAACCAGAAATTTGACCAGTAGACCAGCTGTCTGACTCCCAGTGTTCACTGTGGGCCACCAGTAGGGTCTGAAAGAACTAGGTTCTCTGCGTTGCTTACCAAGAAGCTCACTCGACCCTGTGAACATTAGGGAAAGGGAAAAATGGGAATGTATAAAACAGACTGGCAGAGTCCCATTTATCACAGTGAATGTGGATGAGTTAGAATTCTGCTGTCTATGGACATTTTCAGGTGGAATTATAAACACCATAATTATGTGTTGAACATAAGAGACTTCTAAAAAGGGGTGACACCAGAGGCTAAGAATAAAGGGGCTAGAAAGCACTGGGAGCATGCTAACAGGAAGAGAGTGCAGGAGAACCGCACTCTCTTCAGTAGCTCAAGCAGTAGCTTGATTAGAAGATGAAACAGAGGGGTGTGCATCCCCATCTCTGACAACATCCTTGAAAGTTCGGGTTCTTAGACTGCAGTGAAAAAGGAAGCAACACCCCAGTGGATCTGTTAGACTTGTTAATTGTTCTGACTTTGCATTTTCTGCTTCATCTAGCATGTACTTAAGGGAACTGTCCCCTGTGCTTCTGGTTTGGTTGATTTCTGAGTCTCTATGGTTCGCTGTTCACCTATCAGGGTTTTCTTTCCAATTGGCCCTCTTAGGTGTGAGAAAACCCTGTCTTGGCCTGTTCACTGGTGTCTGTCTCAGTTCTACATCGATGGAACCAGTGTCACATCTTCGTTGTGTCTGCCTAAGATGTTTATCTATTGAAACTATCTTTTTGTGATTTTGGTTTTAGGGAAAGGTATATATGCGTATCAGAGAAATACCAACCACAATTAAGCATCTAGCTCACCTCTCATTCCTGACCCCCAGTCTCCTGCCCACAGCAGCCATTGCTGGTGTGCGTCTCCTGGGGTATTCCTGCCTGTGCTCCCTAGGGAAGGTGCACTCCTGATTTTCCCAGGAAATGATGGCATTCTGTGCCCATGCTGTCATCAGTTTTATTCAGTTAGTGAAGCTTTCAGTATCACTGTTAATATCAGTGCGTTCAAGTCTGCGTCCTTTTTGTTTTGCTTTGGTGACATCATCGTTTCCCTCTGTGTGGAAGACTGTGATGTGCGTCACTCATCTTCTGTGGATGGAACACTCCCCCACCATTTTCTTCCATAGCTTTTTTTTTTTTGTGTGTGTGTGTGTGTGTGATACTGGAGATGAAACCCAGGGCCCCACATATGCTAGGCAAGCACTCTACCGCTGTGCCACATGCCCAGCCTTTTTTATTTTGTACTGTGAGACGGGGTCTCACTAAGATGCTGAGGCTGGCTTGCACCTCGTGAGTCACTGGGATTACAGGCGTGCACCACTACTCCTGGCTTCTGCTTTTTGTTTTTTATGTTTAAATCTTTGATACAAACACAATTTATTTATTTTTATTTTTTTGCTAAGGAATGTGGTAAAGAATTAACAAAAATTTCCCCCAGATGGTAGCCAAATTAACAACCTATTAGCACTTATTAAATCTTTTCTCCACAAATTGCAGATTCCAGTTGCATTACAAATCAAATTCTCTATGTATCTGGATCTATTTCTATTCAAATAGCAATGCTCTCTTTTTTTTCTTTTAATGCCATGCTACTGGGGTTTGAACCCAGGGCCCCGCATGTCAGGTGTGACATTTTACCACTGAGCTACACATATAGCCCCCAAGTAGCAAATCTTACGTATTGCACCTTCATCATGTGCTTTAGTTTTTGCAAGGCCAGCCCTTTAATACCTTCTTTCCCAGACTTCCCCTGTCTCTTCTGGACTGTTGGAGTCATTCCTTTTAAACTTTGGGTCATGTGCCTTAGCTGTGTGTCTTATATACAGCATAACTTTTTGGACTGGATGTTCATTTTTCTTTTTAATAAGGACACTCACGCCTGGCATGCGTGCGGCCCGGGTTCGATTCTCAGCACCACATACAAAGAAAGATGTTGTGTCCGCTGAAAAATAAATAAATAAATAAATAAATAAATATTTTAAAAGACACCACATTTTATACTTTGTGATATATGCCAAATTGAATGAGTGGTTACATTTTTGCTATTTGGTAAATTCATCACCGTTTCCTTTATAATTGAAATAAAATAAGTGTGACCCTCAATTCCTCATGCAAGGGGGAATCCCATTATTTTGGAGGCTGGGACACAGAGCATCTCCACTTCTTGGGGTCCCTCAAAATGGTGTTTTTGCCTCTTAGGGACAGTGCTGCCGTGCTTGATTCTTGATTCTGTAGACTTATGCATGTAGACTTATGCATGTGCGCGCATGTGCGCATGTTCTGCACATAGAGTTTGCAGCAATGGGGGATTCTGTGTGCATGTAGTAATTTCTTGTGGAATGGTGGACTTTCTGTTCTGGAGCTCCTGGTCACTGCTGTCCCTGGGAGCCCCATGGCTGATGCTCTGGGGCCCTACCCTGTGCTGGGTTGCTTGGCCTTGTTTTCACCTCCCCCTCCCTCCCTGACTCACTTGTTCACCCCAGATCCCACAAGTCCTGCTGTTGCCTATGGAGAACATTTAGCCACATCTCTTTCTCCCTCCATGCTGCCAGACTGTACCCAAAATGACTCACGCTCCTAACTACATGCAACGCGACAAGTTTCTCAACCTGTGACCTGCGAGGGAAGTTTAGCCCGTGTGTTTCTAAGCAGGATGCCTGCTGAAGGCTGCACTGTGAGTTCTCCTTCTTGTTCCAGCCAGCAGGAAGCCCTATGGAGCAGGAGAGTCTTTGCCAGGACCCCTGGGGGAGCTAGGAGGAAAGACAGCTGTTCCCATGAGAGGGGTCAGCCTGGGGGCGAGGAGCATCTAGAGCCGGCCATCCCTGAGGAGGACGTGCACCTTTGAATAGTTTCGTTTTACAAGTTCACATGATTCATTCTTTGCTAGTCTAGCTTGCCTTGGTCATTTGCAGAAGGTAGAGCCAGGAAGATCCCCGACTTTCTGCCCTGGTTGTATAGGTCCCTCTGGGGCCTGGGAAGAATGCTCTGGGTATATGAGCAGAGAACTGTTCCCGTGGAAAGTTCTGGGCAGAGTTGGCTTGCGAGGCACTGGGCAGGAATAGCAGCAGCTGGGCTTGGGGGCTCTGGCAGACGTGGCAGAAGTCACTGTGCAGGTAAATTGCAGCCAGTGGCATGGAGACAGCTGAGATATGGCATTGCTGCTCAGGGACCTGCCTAGGTCTCATGGGAGCATGGTGGCCAGTGTGACCACATAGTTGGGCTTCCTTGTCATCGGTGTCCCCTCCTTCCTCCTGCAGCCCTGCATAATGCTAGCTAACAGAACCAACCTCAGCAGAAGCAAGAAGCCGCCTTCCTCTCATCCCCATGACTGTCTCACCACTGAGCTCTGTGGCCTTTGTGGAAGCCAGTCCTACAGCCCAATGGAGTAAAACAGGATCCTGACCCAGCCTGGACTTCCTGAAGATGTCCAAAGGACTCCAGGTCACCAACTCACAGTGACTTTCAAAGCACTGCCTCCACCCCCACCCCCGCCCGACTTTGCCTCCTTAGTTCCCATCTGGTGGCTGCCAGGGCTCCATCCTTCAGAGTTCCACCCTTCTCTTTGAGGTGGAGAATACTTCCTCTCTGGCCAGGCCTGTCTCTGCCCTCTCCCTATCTGGCTGCTCCTCTCTCTGTCCCTCTGTACTGTTTCTATCTACCCATGTATGTGTATCTCCACCTCATCGCCAGCTGTCTGTCTTTCCATCTGTCCCTCTATCCTTGCATAAGGCCTAGGGATGGATGGCAGACCCTTCCCCCTTCGAGAGAAGCAGTGGAGGGTCTGAGGGAGGAGGAAATGGGGGTCACTAACACTCATTAATCCTCTCTGTCATAAATGCATTAGAGACACAAGTGCCAGGAAGAGGCAGGTCCTCTAGGAGGTTGTGGGGAGGCTGGAGGCTGCTCAGCCAGAGGTAGCTGAGCCAAAGCAGGAGGCAGAGCCCAGAACCTCAGAGGCGCTGCACTGAGCTGATCCTTCTGGCTTTCTCCTGTCCCCTGATGCTTTGCCCCAGCTGGCCACGTTGTTCACCTTCTCTAGGTTGAGTGACAAGAAGGCGTGTCTGTCACCTTTCCATCGGAGCATATCTGCAAACATGAAGTGACACCCTGAGAGACCTTTGGGCTGCCAGAGTCTGAGGAAGAGCAGAAGTCCACCTGCATGGTGGTACGGAGGTTCCGGAGGGCTCCAGGGCTGTATCCCGTGGACAGGAGCCTGGGGGGCCTAGCTGTCCCTGTAGCTCGATGGCGTCATAGGGCCTCATCTCTCTCCTCTTTTTCTGACACTCAGAGAAAATGCATAGAATTGTTTGCAAGGCCCCCAAGTCCTTGAGCCCTCTGATGATTGCCTCTGAATATTGACATGAGTTTAATATACTGTACAATTTTGATACAAGACTGATTAATCAATGACTTCAATAATCCCTGTGAGTAGGGAACAATAAAGTAGATGTATTGCCTTAGAATTATTTATATTTTATTTGCCACCATGGTTTAGTTTTGAATAATGTAACTAAATGAACTTAAATTCTATGAGCAAATTCAAGTTATTGAGGAGGTTGGGGAAAAGCCAGTCATTTAAAGGAAAAAAGGCAAGCCGAGGTTCATTTTGGTTTTCCTGTGTGAGAAATAGAGGTCTGGAGAGGTGGCTGATTGGTGTAGACAGCTGTGCATTTTCTAGACACGAAAGGGGGTCACGTTCTTTATGTACTTCTATGGGGAAGTTTTAAAGACCATTATATAGCTAGAGGTATTTGAGTTTCTTTTATAAAAAATGAAGTAAAACAGTCTAAGAATGAAGAAGAATTTGCTTTGTTATATGTATTTTTATATATTGTGCTGCTATTGGCTTCTTGAGGGTTAGTCTATTTTAAAACAAAACAAAGCCCTAGAATTACATTTGACAGCACAGCAGAGTGAAGTATCACAGTTAGTCAAACAAAGGGAAATAAGAGCTGCTGAGCTTGGAAAAGGCCAGAC